TGTGTGTGTGTGTGTGTGTGTGTGTGAGTTCAGTTATTTTTTGATATATATGTAAAAAGAATGTATGGTCCTGTTTCCATTGATATTCAGTTAATTGTCATATGGTGCTATTTTAATACTTAACATTTGAATCCAATCCTCTGAATGATTTCCTCCCCTTTACCGTCTTTTTTTATCCATTTCATTTTCTCTTTCTTCTTCTTCTTCTCCTTCTCCTCATTCTCATCCTCATCCTTATCCTCATCCTCATCCTCCTACCAGCTCTACCTCTCCCTATTCTTCCTCCTCCTCCTCCTCTTTCTTTTTGTGCTTCTTCCTCTTTACCTGGGTTTCATAGCATCTCATTAAATTAACAGATTGCGATTAAACGACTTATGGAGGGGAGTAGAGATAGAATGTGTTGAAAGAGATTATTTAGCTGAGAAAAGATTAGCTGGAAAGGAATTTGAAGAGAAGAAGAAGGAATTGAAAGAAAACCTTTTGCTGGAGCTAGAAGATAAGAAGAAAATCATTGAACAGGAGAGATTCACACTTGAACTCACAGGAGACTCCATGGAGGTTAGTCTGAACATTTTTTCTTTTAAGTTCATGTGTTATGTCTTAATTTAGCAATTGGTGTTTTAACGGAGTCTTGTGCTATTGGCGACCTGAGACTTCCTTTGAGAAGTCTTAGTTTACATGGGCAAATTTTGTTGAAGATACAGATTTAGTTATTTTAATAATTAACTTGCCTTCAAATAAAGAAAAGACACATAATCCCTGATTACATCTCTGTTTAGTTTTAGTTTTAGTGTTTTTTTTTGTGTGTTTTTTTATTAACCATAATGATGAATACATTTTGTATTTAATATCTTCCTTAGAATCACTTTTTATTACATTTTCCCCCATAATTCACATTTGGTCACCGTAAGAAATCTAAATGCTATAACAGATATGAAAATAATGTAATGAAATTAGAGGAAAAACAGCCAATTAGGTATCAGGTACAGTCTAAACAAAAAGTAATTTAATTACCATTAGAAGAAAAAAGAAGAAATTGAATAGTTATTATTTTACATTACACAACGAATTCTCTTGCTTAAAAGGATTAAAAAGGTAGAAGAGAGACTGCAAATAGTTTTGTTGTCCTCTTAAAACAGTAGTAGAAGTTGACCAAGTCAGGAGTAAGACCTGCAGATCAGAGAGAGAGAGAGAGAGTGAATGAGTGAATATAATGTAAGAAAAAAGGTTATGTACTTTCTAAAATGGCAGCAGAGAAGACTGTGATATTGAAATGAAATAAAAACCTGTGAAGAAATAAATGGAGAGAGAGAATGGGGCTGGTGTACAAAGTAGTTCATTGTTATAGTAAATGAAGAATTATGTAAAAAAAACTGAGTAAGAAGGAAAAAGATGTTTAATAGAGTTCTCAAGTGCTACGTCACATTGGCATGGCAATGAATTTTCAGTTCTAAACAAACCCGCAACTCGGTTCACAAACTTATATAAATTGTCTACTGGTAGCGCATTTACTCTCGTTATTCAAATATTTTGTTGATATTAGCTGAAGGAATTGAATTATGGTTGGATTATTGTCATAAATAGTGGAATCTAGCTTTATACATTGACTGATTAGATATGTTATAGAATGTAAATTAATGACATATTCAATTCAAGTAAATTTCTTTGTTGCAAGTAATTGTATTTTCCGGCACCCTATTTGTGTAAAAAATTTGAGTAGACCTACTTCTGTGATTTATTTCAATGCATTCCACAGTCCATTTTTTTTTATATAGTCCTAAAGTACTTTTACATAAAAAACAAGAGTGCGTACTATCGGAAAAACATAGAAAAATAACATTTCCTAATTTCAATCATCTATTCAATATATGTTCAAGATTTGATATAACCCACAGTTATTTTCTTGGGTTTTACATATAGTCTGTGAAAGAAAATATGTAAAACTATCAATATGATTTGACTTGTAGTGGTTCTCTCTGCAAGAGATTAATCTAGCATCATTTTTGAAGAAATTTAAGAGGCTCGATATAGAGAGCGCCATGTCTGTACGAGTTTGTTTAGAACTGAAAATTGGTTTCCATGGAATCGTGACGTAATGGCTTGAGGACTCTATTATTACTGATGTGAAGCTCAAAGCTTTATTATTGGGTAGATACCTTTTTATAAGTTTGGACATGCTCTCACACAAATTTTAACAATATTTCTGCACTTAACCCTTTATGATGATAGATACAAGAGAAGGTGCACAACTTGGAATGATGTATTTTAATTTTAATGGTTGTATGAATATGCTAAATGAGTTAGGAATGTACTGATGATGGAGTGATTTATTAAACTTCTACATTTTTAATGAAATTATGAAATTTAACCCAATGCTGCTTGGTATGGTGTCTAGATAGTCATGCCTTCAGTGACTTTTGTTAACTAGTTGCATATTCACACAGATCGCTCCGCAAGGGCTTAGTCACCAATAGGTCAATCACTAGTTTGACCTTCCTTGCCTGTTTACCCTTTTCTTTGATTTTTGGAAATGTTTTATTTTTTTATTGCTTATAGTATTAATAACATTATGATAATTATAATATCAATAATAATAGTAATAGTATCAACATTAATAGCATTGGGGAGAAAAAAATCCTGAAAACTCAAGGAAGGAAAAAAATTAAGTGAGGTCATGTTGATTAGTAATTGGCTCCTTGGTGGCTGATCCCTTGTGGAGCCTTCTATGTGTATAAACATTTCACAAAAGAATACTACAGTGAACATTACATTTTTTTGGCGGCATTGGATTAAAACGCTTTATGAATTTGGAATGCACTGTGGATAAGTTCTATGCTTCACATCCATGTTTGCAAAATAAAAGGTTGATTGCATTTGCATGAATTTTCATAAGGCTCTATGTGTGTGTGCTTGCATGAGCATGCACGCAGTACTGTTACACAGACTCACGTTAGTGTATATAAAATCACTGATAAATAAGGAATGTGTTGCCAGCATTTTAAAAAATGCTTGTTACTCGCAAACAAGCTCTTCATACCAGACAGAAAGTCTTGGGTGTCCTTGGTGAGTCATACCTTTTATAATTCCATATCAGACAAGATATGGAATGGTAAGGGAGTCACCAAGACGTTTATTGGCGAGGCTTAAAAATCTGGCCCAAGTAGACCCTAAGCCAAATCCTGAGGCCAAAATTGATGCGGTGAGTATGCCTTCATTAGGGTCACGATCTTGGTGTGTTCAGAGGGAGTTGTGCAGTTGATGCTTTTCAGTACATCTGTTTTATTTTTTGGAGGTTCTCAGGGAGAGCAGTGGAGGGTAATAATAGTTTCTGTGGCATTAGATCAAGGTAAATGAGGTTAGAATCATTGAATAAATTCAAAATAGAATTTTGTACTTTTTCACTCTGCCGCATTCTTTGAAATGAGAATAACGAATGAATCACAGCTGTACATTTAAAACAATATATTGTTTTCATGAAATTCATCTTTGACTTTATTCTGATTCAAAGCTTTTTTTTTTTCTTTCTTTCTTTTTTCTTTCTTTTCTCTCCATAAGAATAATAATTGAATGTACAGTCTCAGTATTATACTCAGGCTATTATGCAGTCACAGATGAATTCTCATTCATAACACTGCATTACTTTCCTCACAGTATAAACCAGTTTCAACTCGAAAGCTGCGTCGAAGAGGTAATGAGCCTGCACCCATTGTAGAAAAGCGGCGCAAACCTGTTTCTAACACACTTCAACTCTTGCTTGAAGAGCGTGAGGTAGATGAAGACTTGAAGCTCATCAACAAGAGCAAGCTCATTAATATGAAGAAAAGTAGGTTGATTAGAAAACTTTTACTGTCTTCCCCCCCCCCTTTTTTTTACAATGTTTTATATGATTTAAAAATATTAATATTTGATGATAATCCCACTCTTAACCTTCTCTTCCTTCTACTTTTTCTTCTTCCTTTCCTCCTCCTCCTTCTCTTCCTCCCCCTCCTTCTTTGTCTCCTCTTCCTCCTCAAGTTCTACTTTTTTCTTCATCTTTCCCCTTTTCCTTTTCCTCTATCTCTCCTTGCGTCTCCTCCTCCTCATGATGATAATGATGATAATTAACTTTAATAATTTGTTTCCATTTCAGCCTCACCTGCCATTGCTCCTCCTGAGCTTATAGGAAATGAACCAAAAATTGAAAATGGAAAGCTCTATTTTGATAAAAAATGGTGTGTATCGCACTGTGTTTTTGTGTAATAAGAGTGGATAGTGTTGTAAATGTTACTCTGATATTTTTAGATTAGAGGTTTCTTGTCAACATTTATTTTCATTGCATGATTTGATGGCTTACATAGGAATGGTTATCATACTTAATTCCATTCTGGCAAGAGAATAGTAGAGTAAATATTTTTTTTCTAATGAAAATAATCAGCTCTAGTCATTAAGGAAAATGAGCTTTTTTATTCCTTTATAGGTTCATAAAGGCCAAGCTGTGATGATTGAGTGCAAAGATGGTACCCGATTCAATGCCATTCTCACTGTTGCAGGGAATGATATGGTAAGTTTCACCTTAGACATTTTTTGTTTGCATAGCAGCTTATTGGTTTGTGTTTTATTCTAGAATGCGTTTGCTCTAAAACTTTTATAAATTGAGCAGTATGGAAGCAACAACAACATATGATCCATATATTGTCTTTTATTTTTGCAAAGAAAATTAAGAAAAAATCTACTTCTTTAACAGATCATGGTTAGGAAAGTACCAGACAACATTCGCTTGAAAATCACCCTCGCCCAATTGGCACATGGGAAATACTTGGTGCGCCGTAGGAGTTCAACGTGACAAGCAGAGGATGTGTATGCTGTGGGTCCAAGCTTCTTTTAAACCAGACCATGAGTTTTTCAACATCATTCTGTTGACACACTATGTGCAATGCAAATGGATTTGCAGTCATATTCTGATTTGGTGTGCCTTTCTGTTCAAAGAAAACTACACAAGTGGAGTAAAAGGAATCTGACCTTATTGCAGTTCAAGTCGTATGACATAAGTGGTGGATATTGAGAACTCAGGTTTCAGTATTACTTAATATGGGAGTCTCTTTCTGCCTTTACCTTACATGTGAAGTACAACAGTAAAATTAGATTTAATGATAAAGGGACTTGAAATGCATTTAGACTTAGGCAAGATATTTTTATTGTAGCACATTAAGCCTTGACAGAATTAAATATGAATTTATTACAGCCCCCTTTTATTGAACCTTTTCTTCTTGGGTTTCAAATAATTCCAAATATGTAAGGAATTTCTTTCAAAATTTAATTGAAAAATAGAAAATGGTTTCATCACTTGTCATATCTATTAATGTTATTATTACTATTATTGTTATCATTGCTATTATTGCTTTTATACACCCAAAAAGCCATGCCCGTTGTTATGGTAAGGGTGAGCTTCAGAGACGGCGACTGAGGCCAAGTGTTGGGGATCTCCCCTACCTAGGACCTCAGCTCTCAGCTCAACCAATTAATTTCAGACACTATTTTCTTTTCCTCTTTCCTTTTCCCTGTCTTCTTCAACCCTACTTCTATCTGTCAACAATATGCAGAACTGGATGGGTTGGCTTCACACCTAGGCCAAGCAGCTGCCTTACTTCCTGGCTTCGTACCTTATTTGCTCAGTCCAGTACTTTCTCCACATCGAGGAATTTGTCTCGACCGGAAGAACGGACACCCAGAGAATATATTAACAGGCACCACGCCAACAGGACAAGGAGTCGCTGGATATAAGTTGTTTCGTCAGGCAGACCGAGGTGGCAGCAGAAGAAGCAGACCAGACCTAGTAGACTGGGTGAGGTCACCCTCCACGCCTCGGCTCTCAAGGCATGGGTACACATACTCTGCTCACTTGTTGTGAGCAGGAGATAAGGAGACACAAATGCTCAGTTTGAGTTAAACTCGGTTTATTAACATAGATTCGTATAAATATTAACATCATTACCAAATATCAACAATATTTTCTTCTTGTTCCTACTTCTACATTTTCTGTTGAAATGTACAAATATCAAATCATATAGCAATAAAGTGTTGTCAAACTTGAGTTTATTCCAGTGTAAATGGTACAGTGATGCTCAGTACTACAAATTACTTCCTCTTGACACATCCACACTCAGTACCTGAAACAGTTATTAAATAAAATCTAGAAATTCAGTGCTTTCTTAAAATGTATCCATTTGAGTTAAGTGACATTATACCAAATAATTAAGGATAGTCTTCCAAAATCAACATCCACCAATAACACTTAGTATCAGATAAGAGCTGCTCAGATAATTATATCTCATTACCTTACCTGTCCTGAGACTTTTGCCACAGCCTTATTTTGAGATGCTAACCCTTGCCCTGTTTTTGTAACAAGCTGCATCACCTTCTGTCGTTTTGGCGCAGGTGGATTCTGGCCTGTGTCCAATTCATTCAATCTTTCCTCTGCACTGGACAACACTTGCAGTATGATGGGCCCATTTGTCTCACCTGAAATATTATACAAGGATTTAAATATCTGGTTATGAAGTAAAATTTCCCTCATTTCATTCACAATATTAGAATATATGTACATATTTTGAATGTAATTAAAGAGCAAAGCAAGAAATCTATCTTTATTCAGATTTCTTAACAAGTTCAAAACATCATAAACTTTTCTGCAGGGCACTGCCAAGTAATAAATTTGATTTTCAACTAGTTGCTTTACCCCTAAGATCTGGATGCCATTATGGTCCGTCGTGAAAAAATCTGGGTCAAGGGCTGCGTGATGTGAAAATGCTATCATGAGCGAAGGCCAGGTTAACAGAAAAGACTCGCCATGAATGCACAAACCTCTTGGAATGTGATTTGACTCATTTGGCGCTCAGAAGGGGGCTTTAGCATTATTCCCATCGATAAACAAATGTGGAATGTAAATTTCGTTAGCTGCGACTGGGAGAGCGCCATTTCCATGCCCAACACATTCCTGGTTATGTTATTTTAATCTACTATATTTACCATTTGCTTCTAGAAGAGTGTACAGTACATGTAATTTGCTATCTAGTAATGACAGAGGTAATTCACATATCACATTTAACCCCTATGATCCGCACGATGAGACCATCCTGTTTGGGGCTGGGTGACGTATATGCCATTATCAGACAAAATGGCCGAGGGTTGGGTAACACCAACTTGCCGAAGGCCAGGATGATGGAAAGGCTCACCACAAGTGCTCAAACTTCTTGGAGTGTAATTAGACTCATTTGGCATTTAGAAGGGGGCTTTTGCTTTATTCCCATTGATATATGAGTGTGGAATGTAATGTGTGTAAGCCATGGCTGGAAAAGCACCGGTTCCAGGGAGGACACCATTTCCATGCCCAGCATCATATTCCTGGCTGCTGTGACCAGCATCACAGGTTGTATTACAGAAATTTGAAAATAATAAAAAAAAGGAATAAATGACACAAATGACCAAATGTTACTTTTTTTTTTCTTCTTCCACTGAGGTATTTATTACATAACAAGATGATATGGAGTCTATGGAAGGAAAATAATATATTACCATCTGGATAAAGTAAATCAAAAGACAAATATGGACATTGGAAAATGGCAAAGCTAAAAAAGTTTATGCAACAACTTTGCAAAGGGGAGTCTTGTCACCGCATGAGTGTTCGTACACGCCCAGCCTACGTGCCACATGCCTGGGATTGCACCCACTTATGTAACCCATTGCCCATATTTCCAGACCTGTGATTGGTGTGACACAATTGGATCCAATGAGTTAATATATTTGTGAAAAATCTTCAGTAGTCCAAAGCAAATGAAGGACTGTAAGCATCACAAGGTTTGCATAAATGTATACTAGTTTACATGACTGTCACATCATAGGAAAATTTGGCTGAAGGCCAGGGTATTGGGAATGATTCGCCATGAGTCGACAAAACTCTTGGAATAAAATTAGTCTCAGTAGGCATGTAGGAATGGGCTCTTGTATTATCTGCACTGGTAAACAGAGGTGTAATATATCATCCATGAGCCATGTCTGGGAGAGTGCCGGCTCTAGAGAGGTCACTTCAATGCTCAAGATCCTATTCCTACTTACTGTGACTGGTGTCACATGAGGTTGTTACAGAATAATTTAAACCACTACTCAAACAGCAAAAAGTTACTTAATTGTTATTGCACAGAATTGTAAAAAAGAAAAAAAAATTGTCTATTACCATCTTGATGCAGTATATCAAATGACAGAGATAATAATATTGCAAAGGGGAGGCAAGAAGTCTTGATACCACAAACTAGAGTTTATGTGAGCTGGACCTACAGGCACATATCCAGGAGATTTATCACTCATGGAAGCCTACTGCTTGGATTTTGGGTCACGTGTGCTGTGAGGCAGCTACATCCAACAGAGTATTACAAACCTGTCAAAGCAGCATACTGCTCAGGACTCAGTGTTATGACCTGAGTGACTTCTTGATTTTCATCTGCAATCTCTTCTACTATGCTTTCTACACCTGAAGTTGAGAGTAGAGCTGGCAGGCATGGTGCTGTCAAGGTAGATGATGAGTATGAAGCCTCGTTCTGCTTGTTTTGATTTTTGGGGGAGTTGGAGTTTGAAGTTGTACTGGATTTTGTAGCTTTATTATGATCTGTATTAAGGTGATCTTGCTTTAATGTGGCTGTTGGAAGTAAAGGCATTTCCTGTAAAGAAGTTTAAATAAAAATCAGACAAACGTTCTTTCATATGGCTGAACATTTGCCAAAGTTCCTTTTTCCCTCTTCTTTTTCTTAAAATAATTCAATCACCCACCAATTCCTGTCATATCAATCTGAAACCAGGAAACTGCAATATGAGAATCAGAATGTAACTAGCCTTTGGTAACGGGAATCCACTTGTTAGTATTTTCTCCATTTTCTCACCTATATTGGGGTAAACTAGACAACTCACAAAAATTGAAGAACATATAATTACAAAACTCAACAAACCTGTTTAATCAGTTTTAAAGCCTGTCTTCCAGCTTCTGTAAGGTGTAGTGTCTGACCATGTGCTACTGCTGACGTCACTAGAGTTGAGGAGTCATCTACTGGAAGCAGAGCAGCTTGGGCTTTCAGTAGTTCTAAGGCAGCTGCACTTGCTACATCTGCAAATTTTGTTTCATATAATAACACATGCTGCAAGAAATTACAATCATATATATATATATATATATATATATATATATATATATATATATATATATATATATATATATATATATATATATATATATCCCCCCCCCCCCAAGAAGTGCTAGTTATTTACTGCATTTTCAGAGAAATCATCAGAACTTCTCAACATATCCTCTGCCCCTACATTCTAAGCATCTTTCCATATTTCACATTATTTAAGTATTAAAAGGCACCTTGAACACAAATGTATAAATATTCTAACATTGTAAGTTAACCTGCTAATCTAAGGGGGGCTTATAACTGATGTCTCTCACTTTGTATATGCAATGCTTCATGTTATTAGTAAGGTCGATTACAGGTTACAGTGATAACAAAGATGTTAATAATTATGCAAACCATTTAAGGAATATATTTTTAAAAAGTAGTAAGACTTGTGTAGTAAAAGCAGGGCTGGAATTTTTATAACTAAATCCAGCATCTCGTTATCTCTTCCTTAAATTGGTGGGGGAAAAGCGTATACAACAGGGTGAACTGCAGCACTCAAATACTTCAGCCCTCTTCCTTATTCTGACCATGGCTACTCCTCAGCTTTTTCATTGCCTTTCTGCCAGTTTCTGTCACTCATTTTGCTGCCCTCATTAACAAAAGCATGCACAACCCACATCCATCATGCTAGACCACCAATGACCATGCCCCTTGTACTCACCAAGTGCAGTAACAATGAGATTTATGCAGTGGATATGAGACAAGTTGTTGTGGAAGAATACAACAAGAATGCCTCTCAGTTGAAGACCCACCAAGCTGGTATGTGTTTATGTATGTATATACATGCACACACTTAGAGATTTGACTCAACAAATCTCCAACAGCTCCTTTTCTCTTTATGTAAACCAATAATAATCTTGTGGAATACACAAATCAAAGATAATATACCTTCTATCCACTCTTGACTAAGCTATAGAAGATATATTATAAGTAAATAAGAAATGATATTTAGTTACTAAAATAACTAAAATACACAATTAACCTTTGCAAAATACAAAATTGTATTTTACAACTGAAGTATAAACAAAACAAGTAGAGGAATGAATAAGAGTAAAAGGCTATATATGACTGGCCAGGTGTGAAGCTAGCAGTCTGTGGAGGCACTTGACACAGTGTCTAACACCAAAAGTTTCATTCCTGAAATGTAGTCATCCCAGACCTGCAGACTGGCATCATTATTAGTTTTTCCAAGAACAATTTTAACCAACTACTGTTGGGGAGGGGATGTATGTCCATGCCATGCCCACTGTAAGTTTAGTTTATTAATTGTCTTTACATATAGATGGCTCCACAAGTAGTAAGTCACCAATGAGCTAGTTGTGAGCATTACTCATCTCACCTGTTTATCCTTTTCCTTGATTTTTGAAAATATTTTCTGATATATTATATTGCTGTGAACCCAATAATGTTGGGCAAAAATTATGATTGTTGAATACGATCATGGGTTTATTGGCATGCATCAATAGTTTCCCCAGTTTGTGCCCAGTTCGTTCAGTGGTTTGCAGGCAATATTAGGCACCTACAAGCTTGTATTTTGATACAATTTTTCAAAATGTCAAATTTTTAACCCACTAACAATGGCTGTCCCACCTATGAGACACCCGAAAAAATAAACATTGCTGGGCATCCCACCAGTGTGATGTTGTATCGGGGCTCGCTCCGCGCGGGCAGAGTCTGGGCCAGCCCCGCACGCTGATTTTGTAGCCGCCCGGAATCTTTTATTTTCGGCTTCAAAATATACCAGCGTTAATGGCCTAAAGGTTAATCTTCACTTTAGGTACTAATGCCAAAAAGGTTTTTCCATACAAATGATGCCCTTACTATTGGAGAAAACTAGCTCCATCAGAGAAGCCAACAGGGAAGGGTCTTGTTTGATGCCACCGCTACTTTGTCCACAACAATCATGGCATGCATGTACATGCTACCTGGCGGGAAGTGATTAATAATGGAAATACTTTAATGTCTATAATAATAAGAGCATTGATATTGATAGCATTAGGTTGGGGGGAGACTCGGGGAAAGGTGAAATCAGGTGAGATCATAAGGTCTACTAATTGATTTCCTTGTGACTAAGCACTTGTGGAGCCATCTATGTGCAGAGACATTTCACAAAACAATACTACAGTGAACACTACATTTTCCCAGTGACACTGGGTTAAAACTATTTATCTAAGAAATCCTGTGTAAGCCTTACCCTCAGAGCCCTCAGATCCCTTTGATGTAGCCTCTGCTAATTCTGCCAGTGTTGCCAGGACTGATGTGTTTTGATCTGTAATTTACACAAGGACTTTACACAAGGACTCTTCTCCCATTTGTTTCTACCCTCTATCTTTGCTTGACATATTGCACCTAGTTTAATCAGATACATAACATTAGGGCAACATTAACAATGTGAGATTCACCTAGGAAAGAACTTCAATTTTTTCTCAATTTTCTTTAACCCCAATGATCTGGATGATATGACCATTATATCATGAAAAAAAATTGACTTGAGAGGCGGGTGATGGGAACATTGAGAACTAGGCTGAAGGAATCTTGCCATCATGAGCATCTTGGCTTGAAACCCAGGTAACAGGAATGACTCTTAACAAGTGCACAAAATTCTTGGAGGGTGATTAGACTCTGTAGGTATTCAGGAAGGGGCTTTTGAATTATTTCCATTGATAAACGAGTGTGGAATGTACCATCCATAAGCCATCACTAGAAGAGCACCAGCTCTGGGAGGATGCTTTACTACACTCAGGAAACTATTCCTCCCCACCGTGAACAGCAGGGCAGGTTGTATTACAGAAAATTTAATTTAAATTGAGTTATGGACTATCTAGAGAGATGCTACAGAGTCATATAAGGAAAACAGTCTATTACAATCTGGATAAAACAAATAAAATTACAAAAATAGACAGTAAAAAATGTCAACAAAACTAAAAATACCTATGTACAAAAAAAGAAAATAACTTTGCAAAGGGAAGGCTTGGAGTCTTGTCACTGCACACAAGTGTTCTTGTGAGCTGGCCTATAAGCCACGCACCTGTGAGTGGCTGCTCAAGTAAGCCTAATGCCTGTATCTTGGGCCATGTGCAGGCAGTGGAGCATCCACATCAAAGGGGTTAATAAGAGAATCACATAGGCCCGCACTTTTAAAACCTTTGCCAGTGCTAGAGATCGCCTGGCGAAGCTAAGCCAGGCGAAATTCTGAGTGAGGGAGGCCTTACTTTTAAACCCAACGTTCGCCAGGGCGGGCGAAGGGATCGCCAGGCGCTAACATCTTGCATTCCTGCTAAATCTAGCGCAAATTTGTTTACATCTGCAGTGCACATAACATAACCTAAACTTAATTTTAACCTCGAGAGAAGACGAAAATGTTGTTTCCGCAATAGTCTCACTTTATACTATAACAAAGGAGTTAAAATTTAACTTTATGCTATAACAAAGAAGTTGAAAATAACTTTATACTATAACAAAATTAACTTTATACTTTATGCTATACTACACTTTATACTATAACAAGGTTAACTTTATGGCCCGTACTTTTAAAACCTTTTGCTAGTTCTGGCGAAAGGTTTCGCCGGGCGATCGGGAATTTCGTACCATTAAAAGTTCGCCAGGCGAACTTTCGCCAGGGCTGGCGAACGATCGTATTGGAACAGCCTGGCGAAGCAAAGTCGCGAGAGCCCTCCCTTTCCCGTGTTTAAATACCATTTTCTTGCTTTCAGATTATAAATTAGTAACATATTTACGTATGATATGATGTAGGAACCACATTGTAATTCTAAAATATCTTAAAATCATAATTTATTATGAAATAACATATATACATAGTTTTTTCAAGACCTTCGATGTTCCAGTCGAGAGCTCAAGACATCAGCTGTATTCCTACCCCCCTACCCCACCCACCCCGAGATGACTTATTTAGATTTAGGTTGTTGTTATTTTGGTTGTAAGGATAATTTTCCTTTCACAAATGTTACCAAAAGTGTTTTGACGATGGCATGTTTACTACGGGCTATAGAAATATGGCTGTAGTGCTCCACCGCTCTATAATGAGGCGTGTCTAACCTAACCTAACCCTTGTATCCCAACAGTTAACTATTTTATATCGGTTAGGTATAGTAAAATTATTAATTTTTAACTCCTTTGTATAAAGTGAGGCTATTACGGATATAATATTATCGTCTTCTCCCGAGGTTAATAATTAAGCTTAGATTATGTTAGGTAAGGTAATATATATGATATAAGGAAGGTAAGGTAAGGTAATATAATATAAAAAATCCCTGCTATGTGCCAACAATATATATTTACTTATATGTTTATATAACACACTGCAGATGTAACAAATTTGTGTTTCTCGCGTTTTTTTCATTCGCCGAAGCGCTAGATTTAGCAGGAATCCAAGATGTTAGCGCCTGGCGATCCCTTTCGTTCGCCAGGCCTGGCGAACACCTGCCTTGGTTTTAAAAGTAAGGCCTCCCTCACTCAGATGTTTGCCTGGCGAAGCTTCGCCAGGCGAAAGCCAGCATTGGCGAAAGGTTTTAAAAGTACTTTATACTATACTATATCAACTTTATACTTTTATACAAAAAATAACTTTATACTTTAACAAAAGAGTTTAAAAATTACTATTTTACTATTCCTAACTGATATAAGATATTGAACTGTAGGCCTACAAGGGTATCATTAGACACGCCTCATTATAGGGCGGTGGAGCACTACAGCCAGGCATGATTTTAATAGTACGAAATTCCGGATCGCCCGGCGAAACCTTTCTCCAGCACTGGTGAAAGGTTTTAAAAGTACGGGCCATAAACCTTTGATCCTCTGACAAGCAATAAATACAATTAAATCAATTGTTTATGAATTATCTTTATTCTTTACTGAGGTGAAACATCTAGATGGGCATTTACAACGCAATAAAGTATAAGAAGAAAAAAGACAAAGAAAAAAAAATTAGCATATCACATGATGATTTCAGCATAATGACACAAAAGGAAAGCTCACCATCTGAGTCATCTGCCAGGATGGAGTGAGGTAGATCACCCTCCATACTAAACCTTTCTTCCTCCTTCTCTGCCTGGTCTTCCACCAGTTCCTTAGGTGAAATGAAATGGAATATAAAGCTATGAAGTAATGAGGAGGCCCAAAACAAAAGGAAAAATTATGTTTTAGTAAAAATGATTTTGCTTATGGTATGCTGAGGGATTCAACTGTAATCATCACTAGGGGCTATATCAAACCATATGAAAGTCTAACCCTCTTACAAACAGTAAGTTTCCGATAAGCTTCAGCATGGTTTACTTATCCCTTTCTCTAACCTGCCTAGTTGTTGAGTGAAAATCCAGATAAGAATCAATCACATGCACAAATTTACAAGAAATCAGTAAATGACATATTTTGAAAGTGACACATTCACAATTATTTAAGATTATGGAGATTTGGCGCAAAAATCTCATTATTAGCAAATAATTTAATACAGCACCATGACAATATCAATTTTCTTCTCCACAATCTGGATTTTCTTCTCTACGATCTGGAAAAATCTGGGGCAAGGGCCGGGTGATGTGAACATGCCATCATCGGGCAAAATGGCCGAGGATCAGGTGACATGAACTTGCCGTCATGAGCAAAGGCCAGGGTGACGGAAAAGACTCATCATGTGTATGATTTGACTCATTTGGTGCTTAGAAGGGGACTTTAACATTATTCCCATCGATAAACGAATTTGGATAGTAACGTGCGTCCTCCATTTCCATGCTGTGCTTCATATTTCTGGCTGCAGTGAAGCAGGTTGTATTACAGAAAATTTAAAATTACAAAAAAATATGACATGACTCAAATGACCAAATAACTTTACAAAGGGGAGGCACAGTCTTGTCACGGCTCATGGGTGTTCACATGCCTGGCCTATGCAGCACATGACCAAGGTGTTGGCAACTTACGTAACCCACTGCCCATATTTTCAGCACCGTTATTTCAGTGACACAACCGGATCCAAAAGGTTAAGACCTGACTATTCTAAATCACTTCTAATGTAACACAGCTAAATCTAAATATAATGATGCTTGATCCATGGAAACACTTCACAATAGAAAATATTACAACAAAATATCATCCTATCTGTAAAAAATAATCTTCAGCACTCACTTCTTCATATTCCTCTGTACAAACCTCCTCCGTCTTGCACACAACAGGAATAGAGTTCAAGTCATCTGTGACATTTAGTGAAATTGATTCCACTGCAACTGCCTCCTCCTCTTCTTTGTAATTCACACCTTCCTGAAAATTAAAAAGCCAATAATGGAGCTGAGTATCTTTACAAGTCAAGCATTTAGCACATGACATCATTTACTTACATGTGGCAAGTATGAGAAAAGCACAAAAATACAGTTTGGGAAAGCTAGTTAAATTATAATATATCACACTGCTGTAGCAGAAACAGATCAAATAAATTATAAGCAGACAATTCAACCCAAAAGCTATGATCAAAGACATTCCAAATCCATGTATCTATCAGTTTACTGCAAAGAAACAGCAATGATAAAGGCACTTCAATTTCAAGTCAGAGGAACTAATTCATCTACCAGTTTCTTATCTAACTGTAAATGCTTATAGCATTTACTTCCTTTAGCTACTATCACTGTATGCAAGAGAAATGTCTCACAAATAAATGTCAACTTCAAGTTAATTATTAACTACTCCTTTAACTGTTAATCACAACTGTTCTTCAGCTCACTTGTGCAATTGTGCAAATTAACCTCAATCTTTAACTTTTATTGTAAACAAATTTGTTCTTTCAAGTTCAATTTGATATTACACATCAGCAAATTTGTATCTCTTGGGGTAGGAGGAGGTATAGAGAAGAGGGGAGAGCTCTGTGGCCTTGATGCTGGCAAGTCTTAAGCCGGTGTTTACCAAACTTTTTCGGGTGCAACCCTAAAGACAGTCTTGGCCTAGGCTAGCAACCCTAAATGTGTGAACATGTAGTAATATATCCAACCATTTTCTTAGTAGTTATACTTGCAGATGGATATTATCTTAGGTTATTCTATACTTTTATAGATTTATAGTGCCAACACACTGGATTTCAATAAACAAGTGTTAATAAAAAATATTTAATTTTACTGACATATCCAGCAGTGGATTTTTTTATTCTTCTTTAAAGGCCCTCTGACGACCATCAGTCAGAAAAACTCTGGTGACTCTCATTAGGGTCATCACCATGGGGTTGGGAAGCACTGTCCTAAGCAGTACACTCTTTCTATCTCATTCTCGAGGAATGTTGAGGCCGGAAAACAATTTGACATGTTTAATAGCTGATAATCTATTGATGCAACTTATTTTTAAGACACAATTAACTAACATGCTCAACTGTGGCAGTTTAAACATTTGGCCAAATTCATTTCCAGTGCGTTCATTTTCAGAGGAAGGTTCAGGGTTACCAGCATGACTTACTCCTTTGGAAAGGATCGATAGATGTTGAAATTCATCCCCCAGCTTAACCCCTTGGACCTGAATGACGATGCGGTCACGTCATGGATAAACAAGTTGAGGTGTGGGTGACAAATTAAAACCTAGTTGAGGGGAGGGTGATGCAA